GTTTTTTGTCTTATTTTTCTCGTGTATTCAAAAAGCACTTGTAATTCGTATTTCAAACCTCAAAACACATTTAAATTTTTGGATTCATTTCAACAAAACATTTCATGAATATTCCGTTGACTACTCCATACATCACATGAAATATTCATGACTTTTTTGACAGTCAACTCACGATATGATTAACGCATACCATAAGAATTTTTGTTAATATTCTGTACACAATATAATAAAGTTTACTAGTTCATTATTAATAGTAGCGTAGCTAAAATACATCTAGTTAGCTATTCTTTAGATTATTGCTTAATTAATTATAAAATGTAACTAGAACATTTTACATTATATGTGTTTATATAATAATAGCTTGAGTTGATTTTGACTAGTTTTTGAAAAGTATTTTAAATAAAAAGCAAACATTTAGTGCACTATTATCTGTGAAATTAGCAGTTATTCACTGTTTATTACTTATAGTAACATTCATAGTAATTATTCGCTAATTTGTTATTAAATATAATACCGAGTACAATTTTTAAATACTGTATATAATAATATAATTACTCTACAATACATGAAATTTAATCCAATTCTTATATATAATAATTACAGGAATTTGTGGACCAAAAGAGTAATAAATAAATAAATATTTTGCTTCAAAATTCCGGCACAAAATTCTCGAAACAATTCGTGACTTAAAAACTCAAACTCAAGAATATTCTGTGAACTCAAACACACAGTACTCGTGAACCACATATCGGACAATGAATTTATAGTGAATTTATTCGGACGTCATATCACCGCAAGAATCTTACCCTAAATACTAGTCCATAGTTGCCATCGCCGAAAGCAATGCTCTATTACTGCGGTTTCGAGAGTTTCCTGAAATTCCGGCACAAATCGGGTATTCATAACATATTCCTGCGACCGCTGAGCGACCTATGCCTGGATGAGTCGGACCAAGTGATCAGCGCCTACATCGGCTGGTGCTCACTGTTTCTGCATACCGGCTCCGGTCAGGTAGTCTACTTAGGCTACTCTAACCCGAAGTCACTATTGAAGCAAAATATGTTTAAATCTGATAATAAAAACTCAAATAATAATAATAAGGACACCAATGAGTTGATTGTATGCGAAAAGGCGCCCCAATATATCATTAACATCGAGTGCGGCTCCAAAGAGACCCTGGTGCTCACACTGGACCAGAAGCTATACAAATGGTACGTAGACTACCGGTGCTTTCGCCCTAGTATTTTTGTTAATAGCTTACTATTATAATATAGTAAATTCTGACCTACCTATATAATGTAAATTAATTTACAAATAAATCCCTATACCTTACTTACATTTCCCTTATAAGCTAATATACCTTTCCCATAAATGACTGGTACGGTAGTTAGATTACGGGACAGACACGACCTACTGGTCACATAATATACTGTTTAATTACACCAAAAAATTCATTATTGATAACTAACAAAAAACATACCGTTCCTCAGGTCTGGCTTCAACTTCGCCAACACAGAGCCCGAACCGGTAGCCCAACCCCCATCGGAAACGGACCCACCCATACGTATTGAACAAATCTCTGTAGGGGTCGAGTACTCCATCGCCCTGACAGATACCGGTGCCGCGCGACTGTTCGACATAAACACCGGCGCCTTAGGGATCTCCATAACCGACAAAAAGTGCGTAGCCGTCAGCGCGGGTCAGGAGCACGTACTGGCGCTCACGATGTCGGGTCGTGTGCTATCATATGGACGGGGCTCGAGGGGACAGTTAGGTCACGGAGACGTCGAGAACGTGGACGAGGAGTCCGCTCAACTCATTGACGCTTTGGACGGCATTAAGGTTAAGGCGATCGCCGCCGGGGGCTGGCATTCGATGGCGTTGTCCACCACTGGGGACGTGTATGTATGGGGTTGGAACGAGTCCGGACAGTTAGGCTACCAGAGGGACACCATTACGATGAAAGCACTGCCCCTTCCGCTCGACATATCCGATGACGACTCGTTTGTGTCCATCAGCGCCGGTAGCCGACACTCGATGGCTGTGTCCGAGAACGGCATACTGTTTGGCTGGGGCTGGTATGTTGACTCATACCTACTTTTATAAAATAATGATTGTTGTGTTATATAAGCTATTGTTTTATAATATTTAGTTTTCGATTATGTAATCGCTTACTATATTTAGTTTATATTTTTGCTAACTGTCCCAAGAATAGTAAGTGAATGGGACAGGTATACAGCCAGTGATACAGTTATAATAGCTGATAAGTTGCTAGCTTAATTTCTTTATGAAAAATTGGTTTAATTATAGATTTAAATTTATGTCTAACTTGTCTAATTACTTTATATTAATAATTAAATTGATTACTGTATTTGTATTTAATATAGGAATAAGTGGGGACAGTTAGGTCTGGACCCCAAGGTATACGTAGTTTGTGATACACCCCAAGTCATACCTGTCGACGAAAAGGTATTTATTAATCAATTGGTAAAAACTTTGCAGTAATTTATAAACTATTGACTATTTTTTAGGTGAAAACAATTTGCTGTAAATTCTGGTCAAGTCTTATAGAGACGGAAAGGGAGCCCACCCCTGATGAGTGAACGCATACCACACACATACCGGTGCTGATGAGGGGACTGGCATTCAATGCAACAAACTATTCATAAACTGTTTGATAACTGATAACTGAATTTACATTTCATAAGCGTTTGGCACAAAAAAAATCTAATGATTTCAACGGAGAGCTAATTGTTTGCGAAAAAAAAACTAAATGTTTGAATACTTTTGAGACTAATTTATGGACACAATTACTGTCATACACTATACAATGTGTTTAACTGTGAATTTGTTATTAAACTATTTAGACAAACATTTTTTAAAAATTG